TTCAATATGCGCCTGCGATTTTGGTTGTTGTTGCTGCTGCATATTTCACTGGCTGAGATTTTGGAAAATCACAATTTTCTATATATATACCACATTACACAGCCGCAATCGCGACATCTTCGTAGTACATTTTCCACACTATTTAACCACCCGATCGCTGACAAAAAGAAGCTCAGGCCAAATAGCCGCATGAGAGCAACTTATGCAAATAAAATGGGATTTGGCATTTCTGGTTATTGTTCACTTTTTCTTCCATGCTCGAAAATTTTCAATTTGCAGTCGGCTGTCGGCAGTCGCCAGTCGGTTGCATAATACATAACAATGCAAAAACCTCAGTGGCTAATTACAGCGGTTGCATAAACAATCCAACAACTGTTGTACGTACATAAATACATTTGTCTGCAAATGAACACATGCCTTCCAACAATGTGTTCAAGAGGGCATCTAAACTTCCAAGTTAGTTAAAGTAAACACAAGCATACAATGTGTAAAAGCCACAACTCCATATTAATCCTGGAATTTCATATATTACACCAAGTTCTATTCTATTCATTCTATTACTCCAAATGAGACGAATAACTATATATTATTTGAACATATTTTAGTATATTATCATTGCCAGCTAAGGCTACACAAGGTTGTGCTCAGATTTAGCTGCATGCCTTTTAATTAACAACTTAGTTCAATGAACAGAGAAGTCTTTTATATATCGCAGCTTCCGCACTTATGTATTTAAAGTACGCATGTTTATTATGAACACTTAGACCTGATAACGGCTTCTTTCAGAGAACACTTTAACTCGTTATTACAAGAGTTGATAAGCATTCCCACTCTTGTTATCTCTAACATGAACACAACAAAAGTGCTTGAGTCGGGAGTACTACTTGACTAAAAAGTCAGACTTCAAACTTTACTTAATACATTTTTACAAATTTTCGGAGAATGACAAAAAGCTGAAAAATGACTTTGGCCAAATATCGATACTTATCGAATTTATGATAATGAGAGCTGATATTGAAAACAATGAAGATCGTATGATATACGATAATATATGTATATAGATCAAGTTTTAGGTGCTAGTTTTAGAGTTTACTAAAACAATTTGTGCCTATACAGATGGAATTTCAATGGGTAAAGGGCACAGAAATAATTTATATTTTGATTGCAAATATAGAAGTTATTTACGAATTGAAATTAAACACATTGAACGAAACATACTGTACTATATAACAATTTAATGTAAATGAAAATGGATAAAACAAACTTAACTATGTATATTCAACCGGAAGTAGCTTATAACAAACTTTGACATGTACATCCTTTAGATCACATTTCATGTCAAGGCCCAATTATTGAAGTATTATGTGCTGTGATTGTTGTGCATTTCAATTGACCTAACGCCTAGACTCCGGTTTCTTATCTACGCAAGCCTGTTGGCTGTCAAAGTTTACAATTGGTCAGGAAAACTAATGTGTCGACACGCCGAATGGCAAATAATAAATCTGGAATGGCGTATATCCAAGCGAATATCCAAGCCATTGTTGTCTTCGTAGAAATTTGCAATTTCATACATTTTAATGCTGAAAGCTGGAATTGCGGCTTGCCACCCCTTTGTCTTGCCACATGTGCGCGTGCCAAGGAAACTCTAGTAACGATATAAATTATGGAATTTTTTTTAAGTTTGGCGAGAACAGCGACAGCCAGCGGATACGAAAGCTATGCCACAGTGTCGAGGCCATAAAATCTAAAATGTAATTTGATTGTTGTCGACAATAAAAACTTATCTCATAAATGTTGCAATTATGCTGAAGCCAGGCAAGGAATAAAAGGTTGACGGTGTGAATAGAAGAATACAAATGCAATAGAGGTAACTACAAAATGGTTATTTTCAGAAGTCCAAACATACTAGAAATCAGATCACAACCAACATCTCTTTAAATTGTACAGGGTATTGTAAGCATCTGTATCGTATGAGTATCATTTAAAGATGAAGATTAATAATTATATTCAGGCGACACTTCCTCATAATTACATCTTGTATGTGATTTTTTCTCTTGTAGTTTTAATGATGAGCAACATTGTAAAATCTGGACACGCAATCCGAATAAATGCGACATTAGGAGTGCGTGATGTTTGTATTAATATGAGAACCTCAATTGGATATTATATGGCCAAAATACATGCATGTATGAGATAATCTAAACTAACTATATTAAACTGTTCGTTGTGCCTGGCTCCTGTTCGAGGAATAGACTTATATGTAAAAGCAATGAAGCTGATTGTTTTACAATAGTTACTTTGTGTGATTGCAAAAGCTACCTAAGACAAGGTTGGGAAATATCTTCCATATAAAAATATAAATGGCATGAAGCAGTTGCTCGATAATGTTTTTGACTTCATATTCTTTATCTAAAAATCGATATTACAATTTATTAAATATCCAACGGACTGGATGGAAAATGGGTATATTTTATTTTTCGTTCAATATTTATAACTTATTTTCAAAAATTGATTGAAGCCACAGTTTATGTGTAAAAACGACTCCTTTTACTGGAAATTTATGTATTTTATTTTCCCATTGGCGGCGGCGGAAAAGTGTTGCTAAAATGAAAGGAAAACGCTTTGGCCGCGCAATTCCTTCTAGATTATCATATGTGTTTTGTAATATATCGTTAAAATCAAACTTAAGATTGCGAATCGGGCTGGTCCGAAGAAATGTTGCTAACGGTTCATATTTTTTTAAGCCCATTCGCTTGGGATGCTTTAATGGCGGCGCCTTTGGTCACACACACACACATGCACACTCAGATATCAGCATATAAGTATGTGTATTTGTGTTGTCGGCTTGACAACAGTAAAAAAGAACGGAACTGCTGCCTCGGTTGCTTGCCATTTTGTCCTGCCTAACGCACGATGCCCGCCCTTTCCCCTCAGTAAAATGAGCTTGGGCCAAGTCGGTGCCAGAACGGACATTCCAACAACAATGACTAAAAATTTCGGTAGCTGTTGCCAAGAAAAAAATGCCAGCAGCATCGAAGGCTGGAGCGGAAGAGATTTGACAGCATACGCAACATGGGCGAAAAATGAGTGCCGACCAAGGCAATGGAGGCGCATCATCGGGCGCACATGTCGTATGAGTGACGAGACGAGGCAGTCAAAGCGAGGGGCCGGACTCAGCAGTCAGCAGTCACCAGTCGGCGGCATAAACGCCCCGAACAGATTTCATAGTTTTTATCGATTTAAGTGGATTCGGCCTAACATGCAAACAGACAGATTCTGTATGTATCCACACACACACACACACATGGAACTATGGGACTAACATACTCGTAAAGAGGAACGAACAGCCCTGATTTTTGGCAAGCGTCGTGGTGCAAATGAATAAGTAAAAAGCAGGCAGGAGAAGCCAGCTTCGAATCATCGCAACATTTTCTGTGCGGATCAGATCAGATGACCGTATTAACTCTAACTTAACCTTATTCGCTCGTTGAATGGACAAATAAAATCCCTGAAGAGATCAAGAAAATATATATATATATATATGTATATAGAAGAGTGTAGTCTCTTCTTTGTGTGAGGACTGGTTGCATCTATCTCTGTCTAAATCTTGGCAAGCGCCACACACATACACATGCACAAATGAGAGAAGGAGAAATTAGCTTGAGTCGGAATGACGAAGTTGCGACAACAGAAATCAAAACTCAAAGTTCTATGTATAGAGAGTTAAGCTTGCCTTATGCATTACTTAACTTTCCAGAACATGCAAAGAGGAAGTCTAACCCCCCCCCTCCCCTCCTCCACCCAATCATTGCCCTTGTCGCATGTTAGGCCGCAGTCGCTTAGTAAATGCGCAATAATTATGCCAGATCTTGATCGGGGCTCCACGAGTAGAAAAAACAAGAATGCTCTTGTCAAGAGTCGCCGACTATCAGATACCCTGTACCCCGCTCTGAATCTAAGAATCTATAATAAAGAATAGTGAAACTTATGGGTTATGTACATATGAATGTGGTTGAATGCAACCAGTTTTATAAAGCACTCGGCATATTGGGCTATTGCTTAAGAATCGTATCACAGTTCATATATCAAATTAGTACGTACGATGCGGCTCCCGATTTCAGCTCGAAAACGGCGAGAGGCTAGATTTCGGCAACCTTTGGTGGTGAACATGGCCAATTACCTTATCTTCAATTGCTTCGAGTTATATCGCATTTATACGTATAGAAAGCCAGAAAGTTTTTGTGTGGAAACAATCAAATTTTGTTTTCCCTTCGAAAATTAAGTTTAATAACATTTTGTGTTTGCTGTAATTGCACAATAATTGTATACTCTGTTCCCAAACTGGACGGGAGTATATTCATTTCAGTTCAGCAACTTGAAATTTGGAAAATATCAACGTCACGGTAAGTGTGCTTTACCTCCCCTGAATTAAATCTATCATTGTTATAACCTAGACTACCGATGACGTCATCAATATACTTATCAAGAAAAACTATTTGGAAGGCAAGCCGAACAAAGTAAATGCTGTTAAGATTTCGAAAGGCAATATACTTCTCAGGACTTTCTCCAAAGTACTATGCAAATATATGTAACCACATGCAAAAAAACGAAAAGTTATTGGAACTGAGAACTTTTCTTACAACGTCCATCGTCAAGGCAGATCCCTCCAATAGGAGCTACATATATGATTATTCGATGTTGATATGCGATTGATCTAAAATATCTAATGGGTATTTTTTCCCTGACTGATAGCGCGTGACAGTAATAAATCCTGCATAAAAATAAAACTAATTTTTTCATAAATTATCAAATTTGTGATCTGTTAGTTAGTTTGGATTGCCAGACTTTTGAGAGCATAGACAAAATTGAATGGGGTTCATTTTACGAATTCGTCGCTTCTGTAGTAAGTGCTTTGCAGTCAGCGTCCATTAAAAATAGCTGATTGCTCCTGATTGTAAAATTAATATTCCATCTTTGTACCTATTCGTAAAAAGGGCCCCATCGAGACGGTTGTATTCCTCTCTTTTCAACTGTTGCCTATGGAAAGGGACTCGGGCTTGATCTCTATTTCTTGGTTTTTTTTTGCGTCTTTGGACGAGTCAGTAAACTTGACGTATTGGCGTCCGCCTTATCATTTATCCGACTGTAGTCAAAGGCTTTGACCATTGGCATGCCACTCTTATTGCCATAGCCTTTACCAAAGTAATTCTCAGAGGTAACTGACGTACTTTTTCCGGCCGAATATAAGGAATGCATCGAGTAGCGCCCTTTTGCTTTTTGGAACTGCAGCTCAAGAGTGTCACGCCTATATCGATGCACCTTGGAGTGCCCTAATGTTGTTCCCTCGAGCACGCGGATCTGTTCAGGATGCCGGCGGATCCAAGTCCACGGTTTCGTATCATCAAACGGTTCATGCATCAACACGGGTAGCATCACACCCATGATTCGGCGATTTTCGTTGTAACGACGGCCCGTGGGTTTTTTGGCCTTCTTGTCCCTAAACATCAGTTGGCCAGCGTATTTGTTCTCTACAACTTTTGAGTACAAATTTGAAATTTCGTTGATGCTTTGCCTAATCCGACGTCGACCTCCGTCATTACCGTACTCATCCCCCCTTTTGCCACCTTTGCCATCTGTGCCCCCTTTGCCATCTTTGCCACCGATACCACCTTTGCCACCTTTACCATCTTTGCCACCTTTGCCACCTTTGGCACCTTTGCCATCTTTACCACCTTTGCCATCTTTGCCATCTTTGCTGCCGCTGCCATCTTCGCCATCTATGTCACCTTTGCCATCGTTGACACCGATATCACTGTCGCCAGATCTGCTACCTCTGGCGACTCGGCCGTCTCGGCCATCTTTGCCATCTCTGCCATCTCTATCCCCTTTAGAATCACCTCCATTAAATGCAGAGCCAAACGTTGATGCAGCCATGAACTGATTGAAGCCCGCTGCTTGGTCCGCTGTCATACTGCCTCCTTTAAAAAAGTCCTTGCACGTTTCCCCGCGGCGGTCAAAAATTTCAGTCTCAGACCGTCTATGAGGCTTTATAGCTTCCCCGCACGGCAAATTCAGAAAGTAGTATAGAATCGTTACCAATAAATGAAGAATATACGGATGCAAGGGATTGCGCAGATTACCATCAGCATCGAAAATTCCATCATAGAGTGCACACGTATCAGGTCGGATGAAAGGTATCCGGCACCAGTTCCACTGGGAGCATTTCGGATTAAGAATTTGGCCAAACTTCTTCATAGTAAGCGAGTAAAGGAAGCGGCACACTTTGTGCAATGGCTTCATCACTATAGTGGCCAGCTCTCTTAATGCGCTCCCATTGTGCAGACACCAACGCCTTTCCTCCGACTGCCAGTGTAGATTGAGTCGTCTGCACCTTAGTGTGGGCTCTGTTTCCTCATGGCAGCTCAGCAGACGCAACGTTCTACTGAACGGTTGACGGCAGGATGGCGCGCAGAACATTGCAAAACTTATAAATTTAAAACAGGATGTGTGCGTAATAAGTTTTATTTAAAACAGAAACTCATGGATAACTAGGACCGGTATTATTGACTTCGGTTAACGATGCGGCTCCCGATTTCAGCTCTAAAGCGGCGAGAGGCTAGATTTCGGCAACCTTTGGTGTTGAACATGTCCAATTACCTTATTTTCAATTGCTTCGAATTTTATCGCATTTATACGTATAGAAAGCCAGTAAGTTTTTGTGTAGAAACCATCAAATTTGTTTTCCCTATTCACTATTAAGTTCAGGAACTTGAAACTTAAAATATATTAACGTCAGAGTAAGTGTTATACTGTGCTTTACCTCCCCCGAACTAAATCTATCATTGTTATAACCTAGACTACCGATGACATCATCAATATATCAAGAAAAACGATTTGGAAGGCAAGCCAAACAAACGAAAAAATGATAAGATTTCAAAGTATTATCCAAATATATACAACCACATCTTCTTTTTAAGCCTGACATGCACATGCAAAAAAAAAAAGCTATTGGAACTTAGAACTTTTCTTACATCTCTCCAATAGTAGCTACATACATGATTATTCGATGTTGATATGCGTTTGATCTAAAATATTTAATGCTTCGCTAAGACTGATATCGCGTGGCAGTAATAATTCCTGCATACAATTAAAACTAATTTTTATTCATAAGTTATCATATTGAGTTTTGTGAGTTTGGATTGCCAGACTTCTGAGAGCATATGCACTCGGGGTCCATTAAAAAAAATTGCTTGCTCCTTATTTTAAAATAATTATATCCTATCTTTGTATCATCTTCGTATCTTTGTAAAAATGTCCTCAGAAAATGGAACACCGAGAAGGTTGTATTGCTCTCTTTTCAACTGTTGCTTATGGAAATGAACCTGGGCTTGATCTCTATTTCTTTGGTTTTTTTGGCGCCTTGGACGGTAAACTCGACAATTTGGGATCCGCCTTATCATTTAAACGATTGTAGTTCAAGGCTTTGAGCAATGGCATGCCTTTCTTATGGGGGTGGCCTTTGCCAAAGTACCCCCCAGAGGCAACTGAGGCGTCCCTTCCGACCGAATACAAGGAGCGCATCGAGTAGCGCTCTTTTGCTCTTTGGTACTGCAACTCAAGAGTTTCACGCTTATATCGATGGACCTTGGCGCGGCCCAATTTTGTTCCCTCGAGGACGCGAGCCTGTGCCGGATGCCGGCGGACCCAAGTCCACGGTTTCGAATCATCAAACGGTTCATGCATCAACACGGGTAGCATCACACCCATGATTCGGCGATTTTCGTTGCCCATGTAACGACGGCTCTTTGGAGGTTTGCCCTTCTTGGCCTTAGACACCACTGGGCCAGGACGTTTGCTCTCCACAACACTCGAGTACAAATTTGAAATATCGTTGATGCTTTGCCTAATCCGACGTCGTTGTCCGGATTTGCCTCCGTCATCACCGTCCTCCTTTTTGCCACCTTTGCCATCTTTGCCACCGATACCACCTTTGCCACCTTTGCCACCTTTACCATCATTGCTACCGCTGCCATCTTGGCTACCTCTGCCATCCGTGCCACCTTGGTCGCCAGATCTGCCACCTTGGCTGTCTCGGCTGTCTCGGTCGTCTCGGCCGTCTCGGCCGTCTCGGCCGTCTCGGCCATCTTTGCCATCTCTATCCCCGTTAGAATCAGCTCCATTAAATCCAGAGCCAAACGTTGATGCAGCAATAAACTGATTGAAGGCTGCTTGGTCCGCTGTCATACTACCTCTTTTAAAAAAGTCCTTGCACGTCTCCCCCCTGCCATCAAAAATGTCCCTCTCTGACTGTCTATGAGGCTTTAGAGCTTCCCCGCACGGCATATTCAGAAAGTAGTATAGAATCGTTACCAACAAATGAAGAATATACGGATGCAAGGGATTGCGCAGATTGCCATTAGCATCGAAAATTCCATCATAGAGTGCACACGTGTCAGGCCGTACGAAGGGTACCCGGCACCAGTTCCACTGGGAGCATTTCGGATTAAGAATTTGGCCAAACTTCTGCATAGTAAGCGAGTAAAGGAAGCGGCACACTTTGTGCAATGGCTTCATCACTATAGTGGCCAGCTCTCTTAATACGCTCCCATTGTGTAGAAACCAACGCCTTTCCTCCGACTGCCAGTGTAGATTGAGTCGTCTGCACCTTAGTGTGGGCTCTGTTGCCTCTTCGCAGTTCAGCAGACTCAGCGTTCTACTGAACGGCAGACGGCAGGAGGGCGCGCAGAACATTGGAAAACTTATAAATTTAAAACAGGATGTGTGCGTAATAAGTTTTATTTAAAACAGAAACTCATAGATAACTTGGACCAGTATTATCGACTTCGGTTATTTTTGCTCTTTCTGAAACGCCTGCTAGTGGACGAAAACACTCGTCTATACTCTGGCTTCTTATGGAGCTCCGGTACTACAGGCTCCTCCGGCGGGCTATTTATGCTATGAATAGACCATCGAGTACGGGCGAGCTGCATAGCCTTCAACAGTGACTCCCGTCTATAGCGTCTGATACGGGCCATACCCACTTGCCCGTCCTCCTGCATGCGCAGCTGGTCCGGATGACGACGCAGCCAGGTGGTTCTCTTGTTCGTGTCGTAAGGTTCGTGAAACAGTACGGGCAGGGACTCACCGAAGTACCTACGTTCTCTTGCCGGACTTTTTTGTACATCCGTTTCTGCCGGCTGAGACTCAGGCTGGCGCTCCTGTTTTCTTGCTTTGAAGCCTGCACCCGTACGCCGATGCTTGGGCTCATCGCTGACTATATCCGAGTAGAAGTTGGATATTTGTTTAACTGCTTTTGCGTGTTGCAACTGTTTTGAAGGGGATTCATTTAGGTCTGTTTTGGCCAAGGCGTCAAGAAATCGTCTCGGATCCTCATCGTTCAAGTTCTTCTGTAGCATTTTATGCAAAATGAGTTTTTGATTCAAACGCAAGCTTCCTAGCTGTTTGCTGCCTTGGCCCCGTCGACGACCCCTCTTATCCAGCAACAACAAATCGGAGTTGAGCAAGCTAATTGATTTTCGTTCCAATTTCGCTGCGTTAAATGAAATATTATATGGACGCTCTATTGGTTTACTGGAAGCGTGCACTCGAGATGGGGTTGGGTGTACATCTGCTTTGCCATACATATCGAATTGCCATAGTTCGTTGGCCTTGATATTACCCAGGTATTCGAAGTCGATATTTTTGAGAGGGTTGTAAGTTTTATTCCCTTGAACTTCTTGGGCAAAAGGAATCGTGGCCAATTGATGAATGGGACTTGATTGTGGAGGCTCTGCAATATCGGCATTATCCGACGTTGAAATGGTCTTAATTACTTGAAGCAGCCTAAACAGACTTCTGGGATGCGTTGGATCACGCAGGTTCCCCTCCAAGTCAAAGATGGACAGGTAACGATCACAAATATCCGAGCGACACAGGGGTACGCGGCAATGGTTCCAGCCCTTGCCTTTTGGATTCAAAATATGACTAAAGTTCTGCAGCGTGATATTATACATTAACTCGGCTATCTCAGCTACGGGCTTCTCCAACGTGTATGCCAGCTCTTTGAATACTTTAAGGTTACGTCCGTACCACAAGTCCCATTTGGTAATCCGCGCCTTTCGAGACCGTTTAGATGGCGTGTGCATCTGAAACCCATCCTCCGGGCGACATTGTGGATTTCGCGCTGAACCAGGACATGCACAACTCACAGCACAGCTGCAAGTATGGACCTTTCTCCTGCAGCACATTTTTTTCCTGTGCTATAATTTTAACAGGCTTCCAATAACATTGTAATTTCGAATTGATATTTCGGGCAATGGTTACTCTTTTGCGTGATGACCCCTGCACAGCTTTGAGTAACTTTACGATTTCAATTGGGGACCACAAAACGTGAACTTAGTGGATCCAAAAAAAAAAGGTACCCAAAAAGAACTCACTTTTTGTCTTATAATTCTAACAAAGATGAGTCTTTATAAACTCTAAAATGTTTAGTGCAACTTTATGCAAATTTTCAAGGTTTTAGGACATAACTCTTAAAAGCCAGAGTGTGTATTTTGTTCTACCTTTGTAGATGCCGATCTTTATGGGCTTGGAGATAACTGGTTCTGCGCGTTTCATACATTTGCGCAAAGCAATTACAAAAACAATTACAATTATAAATAATAATCATTACTACTTTAAAGTTGCAAGCCCAGCTAATAATTTATTTGAATCACCCTAAAAAGTTTATATCTAGGGGAAACTAATTTTGTTGATAGTTTCTCAACATTTCCTCAAAACCGATAAAAAAAAAATACATTTTCAGCGTCGATTCATTAAGTACATACATATATAATCCGAAATAAAGATGCAAACTTTTTCCCAGTAAAACTGAATGAAAATAAAAAAACAAACAATATGCACCGAGCTACCGATACAAACATCCCAAATTCCCTGTATACACACACATAAAAATACACAAAGAGAATGCTACGACTGGGCTTCTTTTTACCATTATCCAACACTATTTATGGAAAAGATGATTGATGATTGATTAACATCCATGATTACCTACAAGTCCTATATGTGACTCCGGGATATGGCTAAATAGACTGATCTAAAATCGGTAGTTGTGTTATCACAAAATAGGGTTAGCTATCGATACTTAGAAATAAATTTGATATTTGCATTAGCATTAATCTCTAGCTCTCATTATTTTTAACATGCTTTAATCTGCTTTAACTGCAGATCATCAACATGCTGAGCAAAGATATGTTCATTTTTGCGGGTTACATACACAAAAACATTCTAATATACAGAACATACATATGTCAGAACCGGCTAGATCGGAGCACTGTATCATATAGATGCCCTACTATATATTAGCAGAAACAACATCCGACTACTATAAATATAGCTGCAATATACATAAGAAACTGTTCAAAAATGAACTTTTTGTATTTACAACTTTTTCTTTTCAATATATATTAACCAAAATTGTCGAATCCTTCCATACTCCTTCTAAATAACAAAATTTTATCCATTTTTTTTTTTAGAAAATATCAGTCAATAATGAATTTCATATAGAAAACTTTCTCGTTTTCAAAGGAATCTTGACCAATTTCGCATTTTCTGAGGAAATAAAACGATTTCTTTGAATTTTTTATTTTGGTGTCGACCATTTTCAATATCGGGAAAACGAATAGAGTTGTGGATAGATGGAATAGAGTTGACTTGCATACAAGCAAGAACAAGTATTAAAGACTCTTTCTCTAGATTATATAGTCAATGTGTATAAAAAGATGTCCTATCTTATCAACGTATGCTACGCAATCGAGAGCCTTGTAGAGGGTATCTTATAGTCGAGCACTCGCGAATGGAGCACTCTTACTTGTTACCTTTTCGTTTGAAGCATAAAAACAAATTTATTCATATTAATTTTGTACACTCGACGGCCGATGAGTCAAAAGAAAATTAACCAAAAGCGAAGAACCGCAAGCAACACACATAAACATAAACATAATCACAAACACAAGCACAACACAGGCACAAAGCATGAGGGCAATGACGATTGAAGTGGCCAGCGCAGATGGAAAAGTCAATAACCCCAGGGCTGACAACATCGTCATCTCGTACCAATCCATTACGTGTCGCTTCGCTTTTGCGCTGTGTAATTTCTGTTTTTGATTTCCAGCCTAAACAAACACGCAACTTTCTGTGCTTAAAGTCCGATTCTGTCTGTGCTCCGGCTGGACTGTGGTTCACTGAGTTCAGGGGCGGGGGAAGAGTATGCGCGATCTATTGGGCCGTTCGCTGCCCAAAATGCATCGGAAACAATCCGGGCAAATATTAGCTAGAATTGCGCTGCAAAATCAAGTGCAGGGGGCATGGCAAAAGCTGTGAAGCTCTCGCGCAGACATACTAAATGCTGGCTACAGTAAACACGGGCTACAGAAATCGTCTCAAACAGACCGTAAAACAATAATTACAAAATTGCATGTATTTTGTTATCATGAACAAAAACAATCAATTTGACGAGCACACGCCCCCCCCCCCTCCTCCTCCTCTCTCCGCAACCCCTTCCACGAACCCTCGTCTAAATCTAAGCGTAGATAAAAGCCTACACGAAAACCTTGACAACTTATGTGACCACATTCGAGGGCGGGGGAACATGAGGGGAATACGAAACCGAATTATTTTTATGGATGGAGATGGATTGATGCGAAATTCGGATTTTAGTGTGAATTTGCCTGTATATAAATTAGCTATTTGTCTTTTAATTTTTACTCCGATTTTGTTGCCAAATTCAGTTTCTGTGGGAAATATTGTTAAATTTAACGAGCTACGAAAGAGCTGGGAAAGTATTCTCGAACTGGAACGCAGTCTTTTTGGCCATCTACCCAGATTTTATTACTCAATTAATGGAGAGAAGGTTTTATGCATATATCTAATTAAATTCTTGTTTTTTATTCAGATTTTAAGAATTGGGTGAGAGTAGCAAACGCAAACGCCGACTTATACAAGTTTCGAAATAATTAATTAGTTCATTTTGTATACTTACAATTCGTGAAAGCTTTAAGTCTTGATATAATCCTCAAGGCATATACAGTTAATATTTCTTTAATTTTTGTTATATTAAAGTTAATTATCAACAATGTGGACAAAAGTAGTTATTGTTGTTGTAGTGTTTGGTTTGGTTTGGGAAAATGTTTGAAAACGTCGGCGTTTTGTCTAAGTATTTTATTTACTAATTGTAAATATGTTTCAAAAAATTGCACGTTTGTTTGTTTGTTTATTTAACTGTTGTATTATTGATCTTTATTTATATATTCGAGAATTGGCTAAAATTGTTTTAATCGCTTTAACAAAACAATGAACACAGCGGCGATATTTACAAATTTGTTGTTGCTGTTGATGCGTTTTATTGCACTTATTGATTGCACTTTTTGATTTTTGGACTTATATGAATTTGATGAACTTATGGCTCGATATATGTACATATGTATGTCAGCTGCGAGGAAATATTCTGTTCGCTGGTAAAAGTAAGTCGAAAATGAAACTATTAATCTTTATATAACCTCAATGTTGCCACCGCGATAAATTCAATAAACAAAAGAAGACAAAAATTGTCTCGAACGCTTTCCATGCTTCTTGGGCTCAATTTTCTATTTCACTCAGCCTGTTTATGTGTATCGCATGCTCTCTCTCTCTCACACACACACACACACACACACACAGTCACACGCGCGCAAACACATGCACACACGAAAGCAAGCAAGCAGGCACACACACACACGCACTCACTTCAATAAATATGTATGTATGTACATACATACACACATACACATATATTATCAGATTCAGACACAGCGAAATTCCGCTACACCGGATATTACAATTGAAAAGAGCGGATTCGTTTTTTAAATCAAAATCAACACAAAAATAATATACATGAATATAATAAAAAAAAAAGAAATAATTGTATTTGTCGCGATGTGAAAACGTTTGTTGTTCATACACTTAAGCGAGATAAAACCGAATACGTTAAAATCTATGCACAAAGAGCAGGATGCGAGCTAATAACAATAACAACTTGACTCGGTTAATTTTCTTTTTGCCCTGAACATGTGTTTTGCATTTGATTGATATTAATTTTTAATACGAATTTCGTTATGCGTTATGACGTTTCTTTTTCTTTCGCGCACTCACTTGAATTGCTTAAACTTTGCAACAAACAATCGCCTATTGCAGTATGCCCAATACCAGTTGTTGTTGCTTGAGTTTTTATTGTGTGTGGCTGTAGCTGTGCCTGTGGCTGTGGCTGTGGCTGTGGCAGTGGCAGTGGCAGAGTGAAAACATCGAACACGACGCGCTGCTGCCTCCGTTGCTGGAAACTCTGCCAAACCGTACAGTTTGAAAGTTAATGTCGGACTGTTCGGAATGCTGGCGCTGTTCCCTCGAACAGTCACGAAACGTGCCGACGCAGCCAGCAACGGCGATGTTGCATGGAACGCTCGTGTTGGAACGCGCCCAGTCCGAAATATTTTTAAACGACTGGAATCGAAACTGGAAGCCGAGCCGAAGTCAAAGTCGTTGTTGAGTCGCCCGCATAACCAGTGTGTGGCCGGTCCGCACAGCTGAGCGCCATTTACTACTGCAATCAACCGTTAGATACATATTTATCTAAAAGATAGGCCGCACGTATGTACATACATACGAACACACACATACGTAAAAAAGCAACGAGCGGCCGCGTTGTCATCGTAGTAAAAGCAAAACCGGTAAAGACAGCCGCAACGTTGCATTTTGTGTGGGCGAAGAGAGCAGGTCCAAGAGAGCCAGCCGCAACGAAAGAGAAAAAGAGAAAATCTGTTGCACTTTAACTGCAATTCATATTGGGGTTGCAGTTGGCTTAACGCTGGTATTAACATTTTCAAGAATGCCACGAACGCAACCTATTCGTCATCTGATCATGTTTGAACATTTTCCACACGAACTCGAACAAATGAAATGAAACTTTGTTCATATTGAGCCAAGGGGAAATGTTAATCAGTTACAATGCAATAAGTGCAAGTGCTTGGAAATAATTGTTTACAAACTCCCTTGCAAAATCGACCGTTAGAGCAACAATTATAGAAACGAAAAGCCAGATTACCACAGAATGTAGCTCACAGATAACCCCCAAAGGTCAGAAACCGAATTTCTGAGAATGGTGCCGTCGACTTTATCAATTATAACTACACCAACGAAAAATCCAGCCTGGCGATAACATTTGAACTTTAGACTGTAAAGTTTAGAGGTAGAATTCGAATGCATGGCACAACAAAATAACA